ATATAATTTAGTGACGTGTTCCCTGTCCGTGGAGGTCCTTAAGCTCTGACCTGGGGCAGCTTATGTGTCGTGGGCCCCTCAGCCTTGCCTGTACCACCCTGAGGTTGCAGGATCGTCCAGAATCACTCAAACTTCCGATGGAAGTTTTGTCTCTGCTTTGGGTGCTTCTGGTTGTTAGTGTATTGAATATGCTTGACGAAACAAGGAACAGTAGCGACATGCTAGTACTGAGAGGGTCTGATCTTTGAGCTGTATGTCATTGTGTCACTGCTTTAGCGGGCAGTAAATGTTCTGGCATCTGACATGGTCAGCTCTCCATCTTCACGCTTATGCCGTACTTTTGTTTCCTCCTTGGCCTGCTGTGTGGAGAGAGGCATAAATTGCAAATCTCATTCCTGGTTTATGCCTCAAATCATCTCATTTTGTCTGAAAATATCAACTCTTTGCCTCTTGTCAAATGAAACTGCACTTAAGGTTTTTGTGTATTTAACCTTAAATGTGTGTTTCTTTTTGCAGCATAGAGGCTGGTTTGGATTTCTGTGATCTTGCTCTTGAAATGGGTCCTGACCCACTGTCAGCGATAGCGCCACAAAAATAGGCCACGCTCTGCTAACCTAGTGGTGTAGTTCACTTCTTTGGACAGGGTTAGACCCCGTGCTGCCTCGGTGCTGGTCAGTCCGGTCCACGGGGGTCCCCAGTGTTCTAATCCAGCTGGGGCTTATAGCCCGGTACTGGCGGGTCTGCAGAGCGTGCGTGCCTGTCTGTGGCATCGGCGGGGGTGGCAAATGCAAACGTGACGTCTCTCCCTCTGCCAGGCCTGTAAACCGCACCAGGGGGGTGCCGGCGAGGCGGCCCTGGGGCAGCCACCCGTGCCACCCCCGGCGCTGCCGCTGCACGCGGGGCCCGCCGACGAGCGCTCCAGCCCGGCCAAGCGGAAGCGGACGTTGAGCCCAGAGAAGGTACGCGGCCGCCTGTGTGACGAGTGCACTGGGGGCTCCAGGAGTGGGAAGCTCTTACACTTCCTCTTTTTTTGAAAGCAGAACCCCCCCGAAGCCTGGGTGGGCAGCCCAGTGGCGCGGGCAGCCCATCAGCAGCAGCAAGCCCCAAGCTGGTACCTGACGCCTCAGAAACTGCAGGTGGGTGATCAGTGCCGGCTCCACCATCACCCCCACCCACCCCCCACCCCCCATTGGCACTGCCCTCAACCCCCCCCCACTGGCATCGGCCCCAGCCCCCTACCAGCTGTTTGCCATGAAGCTGAATATTGCCCACCTGTGTCGACAGCTCCTGGATCAGTTACGGGCCAGCCGAGCAAATCTGAAACCTTTTCAGCTCCAGATGCTGGAACAGCTGGAGAGCCAGTTCAGTCTCATGCAACAGCGCCAACAGCAGGTACGCCGGGGAATCCGCAGTCAGCCACTGGGCGACAGGCCGCGCCGCTCCGATTGGCTGCTTACCTGTACGCAGTTCTGCTCCAGCGACTGCTAGCGGGGCATCTGTCGGCTCTGTGTGGCCGGTCAGCTTTCTCTGAATTAGCCAGTTGGCATGTGGAGTGGGGTCTCCGGTCTACGCTGTTTGGAAGATGGGGGTGGTATCGTAGACGGTTGTGTGGGCGTTTGGGAGACGGGCAGCTTTCCCCAGGGCAGTAGGGGGTGCTCGTGGCCTTACCTAAGGGTGTACTCCCTCTGTGCCGTGCCCTGACCCACCTGAAGAGCTGTGCCTGGGCCTGCTTATGTTGGACTCGGGTGCGGTACACAGTGTGATCGCTGTCCCTGCCTGAGAACGGAACTCAGACATGACGTCAGTGGTGTGACTGGCACACGCGTGCGCACATGTACACGTGGACCGGACCCAGAAGGAGCGGATTGGCAGGGCTGTACGGATCGGGTAGCGACAAACATTTCATAAATATGGCAGCAAAGGAATATAAATTTGGTCTACGGCAGAGGAAATTTGGGCTGACGAGTGTGTCCAGGAACAACTGGATGCAGCACACAAACTCTGAGATATTTGGTAAAATACGGGAACTATCTTTATGCAATGAAATAAATCTCTTGGTACGGTACAAGGCGAGCCGTCCAAGTATGAGTCCGCCATCATTAGGGTGTTTATTAGTAGTTTTGGCTCCTCGCTGGAAGGTTCCTTGGCTTCCTTTAGAGGTCCGAGTGTCCTGCTGCATAGATGCAGTGTGATGGCGGTACTGAACCGCGTGGCCTGGACAGCGCTGAGCGTCATGGCCGCCCCCTCCCCGAGCCGCTGGGGTGAATAACGGCATCACACTCTCCTGTTGCACTAGGTGAGACACGCTGCTGCCATCGGCCAGGTGCGACTGCCCGTGCCCAACGGTCCTGGGCCGGGTCCCCCGCCGCCTGCTCACGTCGCAGCCCAGCACCCCCACGGGGCTGCTTCTCGCATGCCTGGCCCCGCCTGCCCTGGGCCGCCACTCTCCAATGGGCCCTTCCCACCTGGCTCTGTCCCCTCCGGGGGTGGTCACCATGCGCCGGGGCTGGGGAGCAATGGAAACGTGCCTTACCTGCAGCAGAACGCACTACCTCACGCCCGCCCGACGCCAGCTGGCTATGCCGAAGAGCCATGGGCAGACCGACATGTCACTCAGGTAGGCCCCGCCTCTGCTTGCAGGTGCCCCGCCCCCTTTTGTCACATGGTCATACCTTAGCAATAATCTAATAATGTTAAAAATAAGAGGCTGTCTCCAAGTCCTCGTGCTCCCAGCCTCTGGATTCCTTCTGCTCTTCTTCCTCAGTATTTGTTTCTCCCTCTTCCCACAGGGGCTTCAGAAAGTTCCGGGTTGGTGTCCCGCTGCCCCCAATGGCAAACAGACTTTCTCTCTCACTGGGACGTCCCCCAATTCCCAGTCAGCTGGCACCGGTGCTCAGAATCAGGTCCGGCAGCCCAGCGTGCCGAGCGACTCGCCGCCACAGGGGGGCGCTCACAATCACCTCCCCCCCCCTCCCCACACGCCTACCTCAGGTGGACAGCAAGGCGTCCCCTTAACCAAAGAGAGCGGGCCTTCAGGGAACGGCACGCCAAGCAGTGTCGCCGTCGCTGTTGACGGGCTGCCTAATCACGTCCATCAGGCAGCGGCGGGCGCCGCCCCCAGCCCTGGCCCCGCCCCCACGGGGCCCCGGACTCCGGGCCCTGGGCTCACTTCAGACAATCCTCAGCTCTCTGCCTTGTTGACGGGAAAAGCCGGTAACGGCGGCCCCAGCGAGAGGCTCAACAACATCCATCCGGCCGCCCGCGGCCCCAGGGCCCCGGGGGACACCCCCTCGCCCCCCCCAAAGCCTGCGGAACCCAGCGCCACCAGCCTTAATGGCCCCCCCTCGGGCCCGGGACCTACAGTAAACGGGAGGGGCTCGGATGACTCGCGGAGCCCCCTAGCGGCACATCCGCCCATACCTGGACGCAAACCCATTCTGAGCCTGGCACCCTCGTCCTCTGTCTCCATCTACCCGAGTTCCGCAGATGTGCTCAAGGCTTGCAGGTGAGTCCCCCCACCCCATGCTCCCATAATGCACTGCATCCTCCCCTTCCGAGGACCTGCTGGTCTTATGTGTCGCCAGCAGGTGGAGTAGTGGCCAGACACTGGAGCAGTAGAAAGGCTGCTTTGACTGTAGGCTTTGTGTGACATAATGCAGTCCTTAGGGGGACCCAGACCCATGTTTTTGTGGACTGTTTGGCTGGGAGCTGGGGAGGGAACAAAAATGTGGACCGCCAGGGGTCCCTGAGGACTGGGTTGAGAAATAGTGACCTAATGAATCAAACCACGATACGTTCCGTGTGGTCATGTGACCTTTGCCAGTCCCCCCAAAGGCTACCTGATTCCAGTTCATCACGGGAGGCTGCTGTCTGCCGGCTTCTCGGGATCAGGGTCTTTCGGTAATGCGCTCCTCACCAAATCAGATACGACGTCTCCGTTCCAAGCTTCAGTCCTGGGGCAGCAGATGTCACCTGCATGTTTGGATGTGTGTGATACAGATCTCAGTACCACTTCACAGTAAGGCTTCCCATTGCCACTTATAAATGGTAGTAACTCATCAATTAAAAAAAAACTTGTTTATGGTAATTTATTAATGCTTTACAAAGTGTTGCAACCTAATTAACTGATTATAATCATTCATAAACTGTTTATCAGGGTAGCCTTATTGTAAAGTGGTACCGAGGTCTTTTGAGCTCAGTCCCAGGAACCAGCAGTGCATGCGTTTGCGTGTTGGGATTTTAAGCTGTTTGGCTTTGTGAATTAGGTGCCGGTGTCAGTGTCCGGAAGGTTGCTGGTTTGAATCCCGTTACTGTTAGCCCCTGAAGTGAGGCCCATTACTCTGATAATGCCCCAGGGTTGCTGGATTGATGTGAGACACTGTGTGTTTGTCTTATATGAGTGCAAGATGTGATGTCAGAAACCTAGTGGATTCCCTCGTACCTGTGGCACTGCCTGCTCTCGCCCTGCATCTGCTTGGTTCTGTTCTGTGCGACCCCAAACCCCAGTGTGCGATGCTGGTGATGCTCTGCGACCCCAAACCCCAGTGTGCGATGCTGGTGATGCTCTGCGACCCCAAACCCCAGTGTGCGATGCTGGTGATGCTCTGCGACCCCCAAACCCCAGTGTGCGATGCTGGTGATGCTCTGCCACCCCAAACCCCAGTGTGCGATGCTGGTGATGCTCTGCCACCCCAAACCCCAGTGTGCGATGCTGTTGATGCTCTTCCCAGGTCGACTTTGTAAGCGTGTAAATGTGCCCGTCCTCTTCCAGAAATACTGTTGCCCTAATTGCAGGTTTGGTAAATATGCTCATTGGCTGTGATTAGCTGCGTCAGTGTTACTCTCTGGCAGTAGGACTAGAGACATTTACGGGGGGGGGGGGAGTGCAGACAGACACCGACAGGATTCATGGTGTTCATGTGTTTCTTTTAATACCAGCAGTCAATATAACAACTGAACTAAACATCAGAACATTTATTTCTATGACAATTATCCACAAAGTCTGCAGCTTTTGTCACTGCAGTATATTTTTGTCTGCTTTTCGGGTGGTTGATGCGACATATTTTCTGATGTCTGCCTCTGTCTCACCTGTGTGAGACACCTGTGTGGGGCGTGATACAGAGAGCAGAGGAGAATTGTAAACGCGTGACCGTGTAGAGACAAAAATGACAAGCTATTGTGTAAATTAGAATAATAATATAAGGCTATTTAGTTTGTTTAATAAAAGGACAATGTATAGACCTGTTCTATAGGAAAGGTAACCTTAAATGACTTCTGTTGTGATCTGGTGCTATATAGAAAATAAAATTATATAAAATTAACTTGACCTTCAAGGGGGGGGGGGAGCGCCCCCCTAATATAATGGTAGGGGAAACACTGATTTCTGGCTGTTTCCATTGCCCACTGCCGTTCGTGTTCCTCTTCCTGGTAGATCGCATTCGTGACATGAACAAAAATCCGGCTTTGTGTTCGGGTGGTCCGGCCGCCTCCAGCCACCAGTCATGCCTCACCTGACGTCTGTGGCCATCTGTTCAGGGTCACGGGGCCCCGGCAGGCAGAGGGGGGCCCCGGCAGGCAGAGTGGGGCCCCGCCAGTGCTGCTCTCCTGCATCTGCCTCTTCCACTCAGTTGCTTTTTTGCCCCCATTTTTCATTTCTTCAAACGCGCTCGTGCTGTTGCTGTCCCGTCTCCAGCCGCCTAATTCGTCTCCGCAGCCTGTCGGCCTGACTGTGTCTGTGCACGTTTGGCACGATTGCAGGTTTATTCCGTGATCTGACTGATATGGCGTGCAGGTCTGACTCCCTTTGAGAACTGACCAGTGCTGCCTCTGCTCTGCTCCTCTAGGTCATGGAAGTACTTTGCCCAGTCTTGGTTCCCCAGATTGAGAGCCTCTGCCTCAGTGCAGCGTGTAATATTGTATTTACACAGTGACAGGGCTGTGACCCCCCCCCCCATCCCCAATCCCGTTTAGCCAGCTCCTGTTTATCAGAGGTGCATTCTGGGTAATTGTCATGCTTTCCATGTCAGGTTTGTTTGCTTTTCTACGGGCCGTGATATGGATGCGCGTCAAAGCCCTGTGCGTCCTTTCAGGAATCTGGGCAAGAACGGCCTGTCGAGCAGCAGCATCCTGTTGGGGAAGTGCCCCCCTCCGCGGGTGCCGGCTGCTCCCACCCCCCCACTGCCAAAGGACAAACTGAACCCCCCCACGCCAAGTATTTATGTGAGTACAGAGCCGTGGCTCTCAGTAAACACAGGCCGCGATGCTGGAAGTCAGACTGAAGATCCTGTTGAGTTGTGCAAGTAAAACAAAAATAATAATAATTATAATTGCATATTAATTTGCCTGCGTTCCCCCGCAGCTGGAGAACAAGAGGGATGCCTTTTTCCCGCCCTTGCACCAGTTCTGCACGAACCCGTCCAACCCGGTGGCGGTGATCCGAGGGCTGGCTGGCGCACTCAAACTGGGTGAGCAGTCTGCAGAAACATCCAGAACAGTCCCCCGAGGCATGCTCCGAGGGGAACAGGCCAGGGATCCCGTGCAAAGCCACACTCTGCATACTCCTGACCTGCCGGGTGATGACAGTGCCACCTGCAGGTCGTTCGAGTGGGTGCAGGTGGCTCCCTGTCCCGCAGAGTGTTGCGGCAGCGACGGAGAGCTCACTGACTGTGAGAACCTCACGTGCTGGCAAATGCACTGCGCTATACTGCCAGTGGCTCAATGCATAACACTGCTGCCTTGCATCTCCAGTGCGGGGGGTTCGAATCCCTCCTCCGCTGTGTGTGTTTGCATTTGCTGGCTCTCTTAATGTCACATGGATTTTCCCTGTGCTCTAGTTTCCACACACAGTCCAAAAACATGCAGATAGGTCAGTGGTTCTCAGTCCTGATCCTGGCCGCCCGCTCACCCCCCCCCCCGCCCGGAAATGTTTTCTTTCCAACCCACACTGCTTTCAAACTGCCGCACTCATTATCAGCCTATTAAGGACCATGTAAGCCTGATTAAGGTACGGTTGGAGTGAAAACATTCTGGGGTCACCAGGAACAGGACAGAGAACCACCAAGGAAGGTAAACCGGTGTTTGTTTTGAATTTCCCGTAGTGTGATTGTGTGGGTGTATGTGACCCCTAACTGCATGGTATCCTGTCCAGGCCGTTACACCCCTGTGACTCTGCTGGTTAAGCAGTTGGATGTAGGATTGGTTTATGGATGGGTGTAGGGGTGGGCATGCATTACAGTAATGCGGTATAGCATGGTCATTTGGAAGCATTTGACTGCAAGGATCCGTCCCCACTGCTGAATGAATTTTATCGCCAAGGTTTCAGAGTGCCGGAACACAGCGTCTTGTGTTGTGCAGAACGATGAAGGGGCTCCCTCTAGTGGCTGTGGTCATGCGTGTTTCCTGGTAAAGTCCGCCGCTGTCTTCTCGCAGACCTGGGCCTCTTCTCCACCAAGACGCTGGTGGAGGCCAATCCCGAGCATCTGGTGGAGGTGCGGACACAGCTGTCCCAGCCTGCCGACGAGAACTGGGACGCCACAGGCACCCGCAAGGTGTGGCGCTGCGAGAGCGGCCGCTCGCACGCCACCATCGCCAAGTACGCTCAGTACCAGGCTTCGTCCTTCCAGGAGTCCCTGCGGGTAAGCCTGCCCCCTAATGGTTACTCTGGGAATAACGGTGATATAATGGCACACCGTTTTCTGCAGCCTTGTTTCCCTTCAGTAAAACGTGGGATGAGATTGAGCCGAATATTGTGTCAAATGCCTTGAGGTGACCTCATGTGGATGGACTCTGAATGGGTTGTTTTAATCTTGCCTTCTGAAGGAGGAGAACGAGAAGAAAGGACAGAAGGACCACTGGGACGCGGACTGTGCCTCCTCGGACAGGTAAAGCCCCGGCTGAGCGCGGTAGCAGGGCGCCGCCCTTGTGTACAGTAGTGGAACTAATATGCAGCTTCTCTTCTTCCCCCGCAGTGTGGGCAGGAGACGGAAAGGCCCCATTAAGTACATCAAATTTGGGACCAACATTGACCTGTCAGACGAGAAGAAGTAGGTGCTCATTTAGTGGCCCTGATCTTTCAAGTCCTAATACTCCTTCTGAGTGTTTATGATGCGTTCTTGCTGCGGAGTGGTGGCTCTCAGGCTAGGGATCTGTGCCAGCGATCGGAAGGTTGCTGGTTTGAATCCCGTGAATGTCAGGAGTGATCCTACTCCGTTGGGCCCTAGAGCAAGGCCCTTAACCTGCAGTTGCCTTGTCCTGGGTATATTAATCTACATCCAGCCCTGCAACTTACAGGGAAATTTGGGGGTTGCTGGCAGGATTGGCACTCCGGGCACCGGAAAAAATTAGTGTGGTGCTGAGGTATCGCCCGCTGCACGGCTGCACTCTGGTTCTCATCCCTGAGTTGCTTCTTCGTGTGGTTTGAGCAGCGACGCACTGTAATCAGCGGGTGCTCCTTGCATCACCTCACCTTGCTGTTATGGTTTTTCGTGCTACAGCATGATTAAAAAACAGCTTATGATTGCAAGGAGGGATAATAACCTTATTTGTGGTTTTAGATATCGTTATAGCCAGAAGAATGCTAGGGCACATTTCCCATGTAGTCACCCACTGCCCTTAGCTGTGCGGTGCTGCCCCCTGCTGTTGGACAGATGGTATTTCCACGCCCAAGGTAGCGTCCACTTACAGTCTGCGTCTGCGTCTGCAGGTGGAAGCTGCAGCTGCAGGAGCTGAGCAAGCTGCCTGCGTTTGCCCGCGTGGTGTCTGCGGGGAACCTCCTCAGTCACGTGGGGCACACCATCCTGGGCATGAACACCGTGCAGCTCTACATGAAGGTTCCCAGCAGCCGCACGCCAGGTCTGGCACGACCCCACCCCCTCACAGGGCCCCGATCCGCTGACCTTGCGGGTAACATGGCCGCCCTGGGCACGCGAGACCGACGTGTGTGCCTCTGCTTGGCTTTTCAGGTCACCAGGAGAACAACAACTTCTGCTCCGTCAACATCAACATCGGGCCGGGGGATTGCGAGTGGTTCGCTGTGCCGGAGCTCTACTGGGGCGTCATGAATGACTTCTGTGAGAAGTACGCTGGAGCCGCGCTCTGTCTCGCGATGCCGGATGGCACAATACTGATGGTCGTGTTTAAGTGTCTGTGCTGCTTTGAGCACATTTGGGCGCCGAGTCTGTTCCAGAAATGCTTGGATCACGCAGTCCTTTCCTCCATCGCCTCCTCATCTTTTTCAACAGGAATAATATCAACTTTCTCATGGGCTCCTGGTGGCCCAACCTGGAGGATCTGTACGAGGCCAACGTGCCCGTCTACCGTTTCATCCAGCGTCCGGGAGACCTGGTGTGGGTCAACACGGGCACGGTGCACTGGGTACAAGCCATCGGCTGGTGCAACAACATCGCCTGGAACGTGGGGCCACTCACAGGTCCGCCCCCGCCCCTGCCCCTGCCCCCGCTCGCTGCCACAATCCACTCCATCCGCTCACTGAATCTGCCCGTTTCCCCCACAGCCTACCAGTACAAGCTCGCCGTAGAGCGATACGAGTGGAATAAGCTCCAGAGTGTAAAATCCATCGTCCCCATGATTCACCTGTCCTGGAACATGGCCAGGAACATCAAAGTGTCAGACCACAAGCTTTTTGAGATGATCAAGTGAGTAGGCCTCTCTGTTTCGCCCGCCTCTGCCGGGATCTGTGCCGGGAGCTCTGCCGGGAGCTCTGCCGGAATCTGTGCCAGTAGCTCTGCACAGGTCCGTTGCATCCAGGAGCTTGTCAGTGTTTTGCCAGACTCCGTAGCCGGTCGATCACGCGGAGGCCACCGAAAGTGTCAGAATGACCTTATTTTAACCCCGTGGCCCACCCTCCCCAGGTACTGCCTCCTGAGGACCCTGAAGCAGTGTCAGATGCTGAGGGAGGCTCTCATCTCCGCTGGAAAGGAGGTGCAGTGGCACGGAAAGACCCGGGAGGAACCGGCACACTACTGCAGCATTTGTGAGGTGCGGCCGTGTGCTAGCTGTGGTCCGACTGGAGGCGGGGCTTTTATCCTGGCCGCATGTGATTGGCCGCTTAGACAGCGGAGAGGTAGACGCCCGTAATGGCTCCCTTTCTGTCCAAGAGCATTAATCAGCTGAGTAGCCTGTGTGAAAACTGACATGTGTATCCAGACCTGCGGGTGACTCTCTTCGAGGGATCATGGAATTGACTGTAATTGTTTTAGATGGTGTAAATGAATTTTTTAATTGCTTCACAGTCGTCTCTGAAATATCTGTTGAGGGTGTGAAAGCGAGTCCCGGCTGTTTGTTGGGCTCCGGCCCCCGTGACCCCCCCCTGCTCATCTGGCTGTCACAGGTGGAGGTCTTCAACCTGCTCTTCGTCACCAGTGAGAGCAACTGGCGTAAGACCTACGCGGTGCACTGCCAGGACTGCGCCCGCAAGGCCAGCGCCGATCTGCACGCCTTTGTGGTGCTGGAGCAGTACAAGATGGAGGATCTCATGCAGGTGTACGACCAGTTCACGCTGGTGAGTGCCCCTGTCCGGTACCAATCCCCATCGCCTGCCTTAAGTCCACGAGAACATTTCCCGGCTGAGATGTGGCCCCGCCCCTTCCCTGTCTCTCCATAGGCCCCGCCTTTGCCTCCTCCCTCATCTTGACGTCGACATTTCCTGCCCGGCGGACCGTGCGCGGGAAGTCGAGGAGGCCTTTCTGATATTCAGGAAGCCGGCCGGTCCAGATGCCGCTGGGCTCTGTAGCTAATCCTACGAGGCTGCGTCTGGAAGCTTCTGTCTATGCAACCTGCCGCCCCAGCGATGGGAGGGCGGGGGGACCCTCCGGGACACTCGACAGCCCCCCTGGCTGTATGCATATAGAGCCCATTGGGAGGAAGTGCCCCTTTTGTACATATCGATACCTTCACCGGTCACAACTGGCAACGTAACACAAAGACTACTGACCCGAATCTCCGTTTTCTATTGTTTTTGGGCTGATATGAAGTTTTTTTTTTTTTTTTTCTTTTTCCCTTCTTCCTCTTCTCCTCCCTATACCCACGAAATGAATACTAGCTTGGCTGGTCTTTTTTTGTATAGTAGATAGACATTTTAAGTCTATTTGGACAACAAAGCAACAAAGAAAAATGGGGAAAAAAAATTTGTAATGTGAAAAGTTAGGTGGTATAATTTTTTACGGCTTTGGTTTTACGTCGTTATTTTTGGAACCATGTTGGTAAATCTTTCGGTTTCTTAGTTAAAATTTTTAAAAAAGAGGTAAAAATCAAGGACGACAGCCAAGTGAAGAGAATGGGTTGCACATAGACTAAGAATTAAACATTAATTTGTGATTTTCTTTGTTTCTAATCTTGATGTAAATTTACACTATTTATAAATACATATTTATTGCTTGGAAATATTTGTGGATGGAATGCTGTTATTTTTCCCAGAGTACCTGCCATTAAATTTTAAGGAGTTCTGTCATTTTACGCACCAACTCCTATTTACCTTTTCTATATATAAATGAAACTGCTTAGCAACCTTGTACAGAAACATCATTAAAATTGTTTTATTGTTTGCTGTATGACCTGGCTTATTCGCGCCCGATTGGTCGGTGGGCTGCGCGTGATCCTCTGCTGCTTCATCGCCACAAAGGGTGTGTATCTCTTAGTCTCTAATCACCCTGGCAGATGCTGTCCAACTGTGTTTTTGTTCCTCTTTTATTGGCATTTGTGTGTTACACACAATAGCCCCCCCCCCCCCCCCCCCCCCCCCCCCCGATTCAAACTTGGCCCTCAATCCCGAATCCAGGCCGTGTTTTCAGTTCCTTCAGGTAGTGAATCAGCAGGGCTCGGCTCTTGGGGACCGTGGGCTGAACAGCCCCCACCCGTAGGGGACCCATTTGGCCGGGGCTGCAGGCTTCATTCCCACCTCTGTAGTTTTTCTCTTTACTCCTGTTTAGATGCAGTCAGGTTGATTGTTGTCGCTGAATGACCAGTAGCATATAACTGTGTGTATGTTTATATTTTAATGTTTATATTACACTGTGGGGGCAAATGTCCTGCTATTTTGATGTTGTGAAAGGTCCCCCTTTTTCTGTTCCCCACAAAGATCTGTCATTGTCACTTTAGTTTGGTTACTTTTGGTTAAGGTTTCGGCTGGGTAGGGGTGTTAAGGTCATCATGTTGGGATTAGAGTTTTCCCCATAGAAATTAATGGAGAGTCCCCACAAAAATATTACAAACCTGTGTGTGCTCTCCTCCAACCCTGACCAGGTGAAGTGTTTGTTAAATAGTTGGATTTGTACATCCTAGGATGTTATGAAATGGTTACCCCTGCTGTGTGTGTTTGACTGATGCTGATATGCATCAGTCATTCCTCTAGCTGTTGGTTACATCTATAGGCTTGATCACAGCGCCATCTGCTGCTGATGCTGTGCCAGTGTGGTGGAGGTGCTTAAGCCTGGCTGCTGGTGGCGCTGTTTTGGTAGCGGCACTTAATATCCTGTTTGCTGGATGCCCTGAAGCCCTAGCAGAGGATGGGGGTGGCAAGATGGTCCTGGCAGGCGGTGACGTCGGTGGCCCTGCCCTTCTCTGCCTGCTGAGCCCGGCCTCAGGACGGTACTCAAGTGAGTCAGTCGCCGGCCCTTTAAATCTGGGACTGCTTTGTGGCGCTGGGTGTTGCCTGTTTGCCCTGTGCTGTGTGTGGGGCTCTTTCGGGTTTGTTGTTCTTTGGGGAATAAGGCATTTTGTTTTATCCACAGAGCACCAGCCGCAGTGTAGGTCAGTAAGCTCTGTTGGTCTTCTGAAGCGACAGGCAAACGACAAAAAGCTCCATATTGCTATGGTCTTTAGGATTTAAAATCCTAATCATTCAAAGGGACACTGAAATATCACAGTAAATGTCTCTGGATACTTGCCGTGCTCAGGTCTGTCTCCCAAACGATTCCTAGTGTTCAGTCCCTCTTCTTTAAATGACCGCTAATAGGATTCATTAGCATAGCATCATAAGTGAGGGGGTGTCCCACCATGATGATCTTACCAGCAGCGCCGGTTTTGAATTTGTCTGTGGTTAGTTGAACTTTATCCTGGGAGATTCCAAGGCAACTATGACGGTTACAGTGTCCTGTTGGCTTACGGCTTACTTTGATTAACCTGGGATCAGTTAAAGTTTTGTTGGAAAAGCATGCAGATTTCTCTATGAAGTGTAGGCGCACTGCCTGTTGGGCGTGGGGATGAAATCCCGTTTGAGGGCCGCGTGTTTGTGGGTGCAGGAGCCGCCGGTCACAGCCAGCATCTCTGCCGTCCCTGCAGCTGTTTGAGCCGCTCTGTGCCGCACCGGGCGCCGTTGGAGCCTGCTGTGCGTGCAGCTCGCCACGCCCCGCCTATGGGCCACCCTCCGGAAGTGCACACAGGAAGCAGAGAACTCTGTTGCCATGGGGACGCTTCCTCACCCTACAGATGTCAGTTTGAAGTTGGCAGCCCGTTCCTACCGGAGGCCCCCGCGGTAACGTTAGATAAGATTTCCGTGCTAATGTTAGAGGTCCTTAATGCCTTCACATCCATCTCCGTTTCTTCGGGGGCTGTAGATGCTCCTGGGTGCCGCTGAATTCTCCTAAAGGAGACCCTGAACCCTTTTGGTAGGTTGTCATTTCACTGTATTTGTCACACATTAAATGCTTAACTTATGGGTCTGGCCAGCAGGTGGCGTGGTGGTTAAGGGTCCAGCGTACTGCTGTTTCCATCCCCAGGTTATTCATGCAAGTTGATCAAAGTATGCAACCAGCATTCAACCTCCAAATCGCCAAATATCGCGCTACTTTGTGTAAAATCTTAGATTGAACAGATATTGATTTTAGTATCTAATCTGCACAGAAAGATTATTACAACCGCCTCTTTAAGTCTGTATAATTCACTGTAAACAGTAATTCCTTTTCGTCTTGAGTGGGCACGACCTTCAGAAAATGTGTGGGTACCTTTGAAATGAACAATTATTACTTCGCGTCGTAATATCAAGAAATCACGGTAGCAGGACACCAGACCCGTATGGGGGAAGAATATCGGACATATACTACATATCTCTGGAATTGCGCTCAGTTATTTCATAAGGACCAGGAGCATCATTAGAAATTTATGAAAAGGAGGGGGGGGGTCTGATTTTAATGAAAATGAATGAATTTATTAAATTAGTTTACATTTTTGAGGCCGGGGACTAAATCTCAAGTATCTATCGCACATAGTAGCGATTAGTTATATAAACGCGAAATGACAGACGTGTCTTGTCCGTCGTCGGTCTCCCCTGTACAGGCGATTAGGAGGCTGTGTCGCCGGAGCACCTCTGCGCCGAAGACGCATGCTGTAAACGCCTCTGGCCGCCAGGTGTCGCCCTCCGCTCGCCATCGGCGCTCACGCTCTCTACGACGCTACGCGCGCTCATTGGCAAATCGGGGACGCGGTTTGAGGCTCGCAGCGTTCCTTTCCAGATCCGTTTAGTCACACGTCTGATTCAGTATGTGTTTACTACTTTTTCCACTGTTTTAATAATAAAAAAAAATCGATTAGCTTTTCCTTACTTCCTTTCGTCGTGTAAATGAAAAGCTGCACTGTTTTAAAAGGAAAAGCAGGTACTCTACGGAAATGTTTGTGCTCATTAGTATGGAAGGGATAATCCTTGAGTGACTTTAACTAAATCCATACACAGAACCGCAACGTTTTCCATTAGTGATGCTTGATTTTTTTTTATTAATTCTCTTACTGCATTAAATATTTTTGATTTACGTTACAAATTCGTGATAATGTCTAGGGATGGAAAATATAGCGTATACGATGTAGACTATTACTCTTTCCACTGACAGCACTGTATGTAAGGGCGTAAGAGAGATTTTGATATTGAGGGGACACTGCTTCATAATTTAAACGGAAAGGGCTATTTATTAGGGCGGGACGAATGAAGCCGAACTCAGTATTGGAGGGTACACGGCCCCCGGGTCCGACCCCGCTGACATTGGCTAAGTGCGAAATAAAAACGTTACTTGTAGTTCCTGACGATGTTGTCAGCAATGAACACGGTACCCAGTCCGACTTTCAGTCTCCAACTTCAAAGTTTTCTGACTTTATATAGGGATTATAAATACATGTTCGGCGTGAGTCAGCTCGTGTTAATCATCGCCGACGCGGTCTCGTCCCTAAACGTCATGCAGGGAGGAGCACTTACTGAGTGACTAAACCGTCGCAGTTGTTGCAGGGAGAAGATGTTGGTATCGGAAGGAAACGGGGGGGGGTCTGTGTGTGTAAAGCTAACAGTAACATGGAAGTAGTGACTGCAGAATTTGCCGGGCTGCTGTCCTATGTCACTACCGAACAAGGCGGCCAGTGTGCGCAGTGTAACATGGAATTTGATAAACGACTTGGTGAAAAATGTTGGGGACTTATGTAGCTATACATATTTGGGCCGATATTCGTGAAAGCACCGATACTGGCCAAGTTGGGTTTGTAGCTTACCGTTATTTTAATCGATTGCCATTTAACCATCGTGTTTTTTTCGTTTGAATTTGTGCGCTTGGCCTCCGATCAGGTGCTGCAGGTTGATGCGTGGGCAGATATTTCACATTTACATGAAGTTCCGCCTCTAGGCCAATTATGACGTAGATATGGTTCATGTCTGCTCGTTAGTAATGCCGTCTACATACAGCTAGGTGAAGATTAACAAATATGAGAAACATGGAATGTTTGGATTGTATAACTAGCCTAAAGACTAAGGACTCACACAGTAAGCACAGTAAAACTTATAATGATCTATAGAGACAGACTATGGGTTTTTATATATAATATTTTATATATAATTTATAATATGTAAATATATATATATATATATTATTGTATATAATTATAGACCTGCTTTGTGTGTGTATAAATCACTGTTTGGGGTCACTTAGAAATTTCCTTGTTTTCCATGAAAACGTATGCAAAATGAGTTTGAATAGGAAACATAGCTAAATAAGTAGGAACTAGTCTTTGACAAAGTTAAAAATAATCATTTTTGAAATTAAAATAATTGTTCCTCAAACTGTGCTTCCGTCAAAGAGTCCTCCATTTGCAGCAATGACAGCCTTGTAGATCTTGGGCGTTCTAGATGTCAGTTTGTTGAGGTAACCTTATTAGATTTCACCCCATGGTTCCTGAAGCATCTCCCATAAGTTGGATTGGCTTGATGGGCACTTCTTACGTACCATTCGTTCAAGCTGCTCCCATAACGGCTCAGTGGAGCTGAGACCCGGTGACTGTGCTGGTCACTCCATTATACACAGAACACCAGCTGACTGCTTCTTCCTAAATAGTTCCTGCATAGTTTGGAGCTGTGTTTGGGTCATTGTCCTGTTGTAAGACGAAATTGGCTCTGATTAAGTGCCGTCCACAGGGTATGGCATCTCACTGCAAAGATAGTCTTCCTTCTTCAAGATCCCTTTCACCCTGTACACACCTCCCACTTTACCATCACCAAAGCAGCCCCAGACCATCACATTGCCTCCACCATGCTTGACAGATGGCGTCGAGCCTTCCTCCAGCATCTTTCCATTCGATCTGC